GAGGATTGTATTTGTATTTTATGCCTCTAACCTAGTTCTCATTCTATATATATATAATTCAAGCACATGATTCTATATATATATATATAGTTTTATTTATAGCTTGAATTAATTATCATTACAGAAAATCTAATGGATAAGTATTTGAATTTTTATCCGAATAGAAAATCGTAAACTGAAGTCTGATTTCGTTTTCTTTTAAATCAATCTAAATTTAGGGCTATGTTTGGCAAGCGGACAATTAATTTGAGGTTATATTTAGTTGTTAGTTGATAAATTATCTGGTAAATGATAAGTCATTGACTTGTCTTTTAAGTGTCTTAATAGTATATTTTATAGAACTTGAGTTTATAAGACCAAAACTATAAAACGTCTTATTTAAAAGTATTATAATGGGTTTATATAACGTTTTTTTGGTGTTTTAACAAGATTTTTAGGATGCTTTCGAAATAAAGTGTCTGTGTTAGCTCAATTTATAAGACATTTTTGAGAAGTGACCTAAAAACCTAGTTTTTTGTAGTACAACTTTTCAAATAGTTAATACGACATTTTATTTTAAAAACATCTAAAAATTGGTTGAATCACCTTAAAACATCTTATAAAACTATTGTAACACTTCTAGATATGATGTTTTTTAGTTTGGACCTATAAACTCCTATAAAGTTTTTATTAGGACATTGTGAACGTCCTATAAAGCCAATTTTGTTATAACGAGAACTAGCTGATGAACTAATTAATCACGATCGACAAAAACCACTTGATAAGCTAGTTCAAAAATGTTAAAAAGTACCGAGGTAACCGGAAACAAACTAATTAAGAAACACCCAGAAGAAAAATCTCAAACCTATCGATCGGGTTCGATAGATACAGATGATATTTACGAACCTTCGGGTTTGAACCTACAACCATCGGCTTAATTCTGAATTCAATCTTCATGATATGATTCTAGAAAATCTTGGAGCTCATGACTGAAGCTATCTATGTATGCAGATTTCACCTCTTTATTCACTAAAAACTCCCTTATCCTTTCATGTTTATCTTTCACTTCTTTCCCAACTTCACCATCTTCATCCATCACCTTCTTCACTGCTTCAAATACATCCATTTTTATGAACACCCCATCTTCTTCTCCTTTCTGCACTTCAATCCCAACCCCATAAACTTCACTCATTATCCTCGAATTTATGACCTGATCTCCGCCATTCGGTAACAGCACCAATCGACACTTGTTAACCAACGCCTCGCTCAACGAACCCCAACCGCAGTGCGTAACAAAGCATCCAACGGACCCGTGTTGCAAGATTAGGTTTTGCTGAACCCATCCGCCGTAAACCAACCCTCTTCCTTCGAGTCGTTCTAGTAATCCTTCCGGGATTGCATCATCGATTGAGTTCATACCCACAGGTGATTTCAGTGCAGCCAAGAACGGCATTCGTGTGAGCTCCAGTCCCAGCAAGAGTTCTTGAAATTGAGCTGGGGTTAGAGCACACTCGCTTCCGAATGCACAGTAAATCACCGAACCAGGGTTGTATCTATCGAGCCAACTTGATAGATTTTCGGTTAGTGTGGTGGATGGTAGATCGGTCACCATTGGGCCACTGAGTAAAACCGGCTTGTGAAATTGTGTTCGTAGGTAGTCGCTGAAGGGTCCTTCTAGTTCTCGAGATGCATTGTACGCTAAAGCATCGGACAGGCTTAAGCCGATATACGCACGCTCTATAAGAGTTATATCGCCTCCAAATTTCATGTTGGATCGAGACGTGAAATCGCGAGCTTCGTGGGCGTGGAACTTGATTGAGGACAACGGAAAACCAGCGGGAGGATGCATAAGATCGAACTCGCTTATGCCCTAAACAAATTAAAAATCAGGTTGTCAGTTCTAAGTCTCTTCTGAAGATCGTAAGTGAAATTTCCTTATTATCATCTTCAGGGACTCGTGAAATTAGTCGGGACAGATACAAATTGGTCCAAACATCTACCGTTACAAATATTTGGGCACTTTCCGAAAAACACAAAAACTTTTACTATAATCAATCAGATGTGATACTATTAGTCTATTCGCATATGATACACATGTGATACTAAATCGAAGACGTGAATGACCTTTGGTGTGACCTAGGTCGTAGGCCAAGTTTCCCGCACCTCCTCGCGTGTATTATCACATGTGATAAGGGTCTTCTTGATGTGATACTATAATCCATCATATATATATATATATATATGATACCCATGTGATACTAAATCAGTGACACCAACGACCTTTTGGCACAACTTACGTCGCGGGCCAAGTTTAAACGAGAAACTAAACATATTACGAGAAGGGGAGAAGTTTTAATATCATATATGATTGCACGCATGATACACAAGCTTAATCATATATGGTTAAAACACACGTTGCATCAAAAACACATAGACGCTTAATCACATACGATTGAATACACTCAAAGGAGTGCAATCATATATGATATTGAAACTTCTGGTCTTCTCGCAAAATGTTTAACTTCTCGCATGATCCTTCCTCTATCAACTTATTATAGCACATTTACATATGATGCACAAATATTTGTTCTTATAAACCTAATTCTCATAAGACAGTGATTTGAAAATTTAAATATGTTTGTCATCCTATAAAACCAAATTTGATGTAGTGCTCCTAATTTTTGGTCGTATAAATATTTACATTATAATCTCACCAATTTCTATAACGATGATACCTTGCTCCAATCAGTTTGTCGTGCCGGAGAGAAGACATAAGCAACAGTTACCGGACTAATTACACAATAGTTCACCGACTTGACCCGTATTCGACGACAAACGTTCGGAATCCAATGAGCCAAATCGAAGAAAACAACATCAACCATAAGATCTTGCAGCAGACGTTCAACAACTTTCTCGGTTTTATCCATGGCAGTCATGATGAGAGGGTGTAACGATGATGGGACATCCGAAGTGGTCTCGGCGCCGAGAGGGAGACCTTCGACATGTGGGACCGTGATCGGCACAAAGGAGATGAGGTTTGGATGATGGTTAAATGGCTCAAGCTTGTATTGTGTGTTTGTAGGGACCAGGAAGGAGATCATATGACCCTTTTTGGCTAACATGTTGGCTATGTGTATATAAGGTGTAAGGTGGCCAAGTGCAAACCAAGGATACATTGCTATATGACATTTTCTTTCATCCATATTATTGTATTCTAATTTCTTGCAACTTCACTATAATTATATATATATATATATATATATATATATATCATGCTTTTGAGCCTCATTACAGTATTACAGCAGATTTTGTGATCATTTTGCCTGAATGTGTAGGTTTGTTGTGACATTAACTTGTATTTTGTGTTAAATACAAAGGTTGTGTACAAAATAAGACCGTTATAACTTGTTAAATCGGTAATATTGAATACTTTTTCGAATTTGATTAACCAATTAATTAAATATTCTCGTTAATTAGTTTGGTGACAAAATTCCATGCATGTCAGGCGAGGTGAAAACATATTTGTACGTATTTTTTAAAAATATTTGACGTATAATGATTAGTTATCAGTTAATTTGTTCTTTTGAGTATCAAATTAGCTTATAACTTTTTTTTAAATAGAAATAAAAATTATTATCAAGCAATTTAACGATGTAATATTGATGGTTGAAGCGTCTCGTTTGGGTTCCGTCAATCGATATGAATATGTATGACAAATGAGCGTACGGTCACTTATCATTCTTATTTCTTTCTCTCTTTTGGTTTTTTATTTATACATGTAATTTTATATTGTGATTAACCAATAAAAAATATATACAAATTGAAGTAATTGAAATTTGCAATTTTATTTTTTGTCGCTAAACAAAATATGAATCAAAATATTTGTGTCCATTAATTTTTAGTCCGATTTAATGTAAACAAACAAGATTAAGTAGTTAGGGGTTCGTTTGATTAGTTTTTCATTAAGTCATGTATGGATAGAGCTGTATGTATGGATTAATATGTATATGCAAATTGAGAATGTTTTTATATGGAAGAATTTTTTTATAGATAACATGAGTGTTGTTTTTAATTGGGAAGGGCAAATTTGGAAGGAAAAAAAAACTTGACTTTCTGCATAAAGCTTTTTCTTAAAAAAATTGGTAAATAAACCACTTTCTATATCATTACGCTATTACCAAACAGTCATGTACAGATAACCGAATAAGCTGTGAGTCTAATTAAATTCATTAAACCACTAACAAAGAGGTACTTAGAAGCCTTTTTGCACTTTTTATAGTTTAACAATCCAAATGACACAATTGCAATGTTCCAATGGCCTCTACAAGTATTATTCTTTTTCGATTTTATTTTTCTAAGAGAAGAAAAAAGAAACAACTTAATAGACTGGTTAAGTAGATGCAATAACTCCATTTACATTGAAAAAAATCATGAACAGAAATCATAAGTACCACCGTATCAAGCTGAAACAGTTACTACGAGTCCAACTCGCCAAACTCACATCACTCACTGACCGACTCAGGAATTAACTCGTGCAATCCACAACTACACACCTGCTCTCCAAATTATGTGCTAATAAAAAAGATAATGAAAGGTTAAAAAAATGTTTATATAAAAAATATTGAAAAAATCCATTTGAATATGTATACATCAATCCATAAGAATAATCTGTAACATTGGTTCATATATATATATATATATATATATATATATTAATGATTTACGTATGGACCTCCCCTTATTACCTTCTCACGATACTTATATAAGAATTTTAACATAAAATTTTAATTGAAATAAATTTTGCTCATTTGTAGATTCTCTTGCTCCGAGTCAACCGAAGTGCAGCATCAGCCATTGACTTTTAGATTAACCTGTTAAAAGGGAAACTCTAATCCATATAACCTGAGGCACAAAGATGTGTCATTTGAAAGCACAAAATTCGAATTTCTGGAAAAAATAATGGAGCAAGAAAATTAATAGGTTTAAAAATCAAATCATTAATACAAGTGAAGTGAATATGATCGATGACGATTAGCATGCGCAGCCTCCGCCTTGCTGATCTGACTGGTTCGTATTTGATGAAGATTTCAAATTCACATCAACCATGTCTTCTTGTTTCGTTGACGAAAGAGTCTCCATCCCTGGCAACGCAGCTGCAATCTTTCGGAATAAAGGCTGCAAATCATAAATAAATAAATTCCCTCGTTACCCTCCAATTTAATTTCCTCAAGTGAAACCGAACCCAATAAATCTCATGCTTAAGTAAGGTCTGCAGGTAGGATGTACTCTACCCTAAAGGGTCGAGAGGTGGTTTTCATGAAGACCCCACTTTGTGCAAGTGTGCGTGCGTGCAATCAATTAACGGATATGCTATTAGATTAAAGATAACATGGACAAAAGTGAGGCAAATAGGTTAAAACAAACACAGATACACAAAGCACAATACCGACAACTACTAGTATAAAAAAAACTAAGAATAGTGTGTACAGAAGGAATGTCGCACAAGTAGATATAATAATGGACATGATAAGTAGGGAATACTAAGACATCACTGTATCTAAAGTTAACGCTTGGTTAACCTAACTGCCATCGCGCTACCCTTCCCTCTGTCTCACACCGACTTCTCCGAATTCCGCTTCCCCCCAAACCAATCTTTCCCACTAACTTTCCTCAAGTTCTCAAGAGAAGCTAAAATAATGCAACCAGATTTACAGGAGAAACTGTAATCAAGTAAAAAGGTTTTTGGCTAATCTAGTATAAGCTTTGTGTACTTGGCCACTTGCCACTTCCAACCACCTTTGATTTTTGTGCCCCTGGGCTTACCTTCTGGCAGAAAGAAAGTAATTTGACCAACACTAAAATGATGATTATCCTAATGATCATCTAAGAGATATATTATGATATGATGTATAGAGGAGAGATCTTTTGCAAACCCAACCATTAGTACAATTCATACAAACCAATTAATTGAGATATTTATAGAAATGATGAGTTTCTTTATTATGATTTGGATATTTATGAAAGATTACCACCGCTCATATATTATGCTAACGCTTTATATTAGGAAACAGTTGAGATATTCATTAGACTAGATGAACAGTTGAGACTGGTTTGTATATTTGTACTAATGGTTGGGTTTGTATGATCTGTACTAATGGTTGGGTTTGTAAATGAAACCACCTCCTCTCTCTCTCTCTCTCTATATATATATATATATATATATATGAAAGGAAGGTGGTAAGAAGTCAACGCTGTCTGTGGCATGACCATTGGCCCAACTAGTACTTAACCTGATTATTATGGATTCAAGACTCAAAATTAGCTAACAGGGTGTGTGTATTTTCCTTTCTTTGACTTTGACCTCACCTTCTCTAAAGGGAACAAGTCAAGATCAGCTGTTGCAGAAGTTGTTTGTATTGGCAGATCATCCAACAAGGAAGTGAACAATAATGGCACCAAGAAGAACATAAGGATTTCAACCTTGGTGTCACTCAACCGGTAAGACCTTGGGTTTGGTCCCCTCAAGGCCACTGGAGGTTTGTCAGCCTGTTAACTTGTGGGGTTAGTCGAGGTGCACGCAAGCTGGCCCAGACACTCACGGTTCTCTAGAAAGAAAGAAAAAAAGAAAAAGGTTTTCATCTATTTTTCCAAACATGAAACTCAGACAACAAACTTCAGGAAAAACATGCGGAGAATGTAGGTGAGATAAGTAGTCTTCATCATGACCAAAACCGTATTAAGGAAAAAAATCGGCAGATATGAAGATACGGGAGGGATAACAATTCACAATCATGTGAGATTTGATGTCATATGGTATGCTAATAGAGAACATCCAGGATACAAATGAGATACAAATAATGAACAGCTAGGTTAAGAGTATTTTTAGTTCTGACCAAGATACAAATGAGATTAGGAGAATAAAATATTGAACCTACAAAAGTACCAGGAAAACACAAAGAACAAATAATCAGGGGGTGTCTTACCTCCCCTAAGAGAGGAGCTAGATAGAATCATGGTATCAAGGGATGGAATTAAAAATAGCAAGAAAAGAGCATGGTAAATTAGCTGAAGCAAACATCTAGCCATTGAAAATGAAGACGGATGAGTGTCGTGAATGCCTAGTTGTATGCTAAGAAGAGGATAACAAGAAATTGGTGATAGAAGTCTTGAAAGAGGAGAGAAACAGAAAATAGAAAAGCTTTGAAGGTGACAAAGGAATGCTGAAGGGTGATGGCTAAGAATCGAAGTAACTCCTAAAAATGTGCATGGAATGACTCGAATTTACAAGAAAATTGTTAGTGTTTTTGGCAAACTAGTGACCTTATCCAAACAAATATTTGAAGAAGATGCTCCAGAAGCAGCATACATTTTAGCATAAACTAATGACCGGTGAGCATCAAGAAGGTGATTTTAATTGGTGGGGTGTAGGAAATTTAGTATTGTTACCGAGGGATTTTCATGGGACAGGACACAATATTTACACACTGCTGTAATTCGGAAACAATCATAACTACATTCCTAATCTACAGGGATGTGCTCAATTATAAAATATACACACTGTTGGTTATAGGAGGGTATAAAAGGTACTTATTAGTTAGGAATTTTAAAAGGAAAACAATAAGATTGTGAGTATGCTACCTTAATGTTAAATCCAGCTTTTGCACTGGTTTCTACAAACATGACCCCGAATTCACGAGCCTTGCCGTCTCCTTCTTCAATTGAAACTTGCCTGTTTCACCACCAAAGACACATCTCCGTCAAACAATGAAAATAAACAAAGAAAACTACCATCTCTGATGCGGCAAAAAGAGAATTACCAGTATCATAAATACTGAGAAGTAAACAAGACTGCAGATAAAAGTTGGATATATGACTAGTCTTATGAAAACCGACATCTTAAAAGGATAAATTAAGCTGATAAACAGTTAATGTCAAACCTTTTGTCAACAAGATCAGTTTTGTTCCCAACAAGGACTATAATCACATCGCTGCCTCGCTCAGTACGTACTTCCTCTATCCACTTTAAAGTGTTCAAAAATGACTGTCGATCTGAAAACCAACAAATGTAACTTATAGAAAGGTGCGAAGATAGAGGAATACATGTTCGAGGCGTTTTTATGCAAGTATAGCACCGTGTTCAATCAATAAATGCAGTGAGAATGCAACATCTAGTGTTTTGAATAACGTCATAAAGCTTTTTTGGGATGCCAGCTCAAATTCTTTTAAGCATGTATAAGTGTGAAAAGTGAAAAGCATGTATAATTTGAGCAATTCCCAATGGTCTGAAAGCCCTCTCAATCTCTGACATGGGAAATGCACTGGTTCAAGAGTCTGGTTTCAAAGTTTTTAAAACGAGAAAGAAAATATTGTGACACTAGTCATTAGAAAACATGGAAGGCGGGAAAAAAGAAAAGAGAAAGATCCCCCTTATGGGAAATGCAGTAAAAGGTGAACCAGTTAAACAAATGGACTAGCACAGCAGCGAAAAACTGCCGCCAACAAGATCATCTACAACTCTTTAAGCAGGGTGCTACTTACTGGCAACATCATAGACAATTACCGCAACCGATGAATCTCTTATATAACTTGGAATGAGACTCCTAAATCTCTCCTGGCCAGCTGTATCCCTGAGATGTTATGAGATGAAATTTAAGCAGAAAACAATGTAAATGAAATAACATATTGGGAAATGTATCTTAAAATTCTTCAATCTATGGGCCATGTTATTAACTGAATCTCTGTAGCCTCAATTACTTGGTCCCTTTTATTAAATTTTCTCCATTCGCTTTTGAATCACATTATAAGCACCATTCAACCTACTACCACCATATCATTTTAGTTCACATGGGGTAACTACGATAGTAGACAGATTCATACAATAAGAAACCGCCATAATACTAGGTGCAACAGCAACACAGCATCTTAGAAACACTGTTAAAAACCAAACTTCAACAGGAACTTTCATGAAATTATCAGTTCCAAGTTCTTGCCAATATTTTTCTACAGTCTCCTATACATGTTGTATATTACTATATGGAAGGATATTGACTGTTATACACATAATAATTGGATAGGTTAAAGTAGGAAAAAAAAACGCCTAAAACACATGTGAGCTTACCAAAGCTGCAACCGAACTGTTCTATCTTCAAGGTACATTGTTTTAGACAAGAAATCGATGCCGATGGTGGCCTGCAGTTAACATAAATAATAATGTAAGAATGAGATCTAAAGGCATTAAAAATGCTGTAAAAGAATCAAACTTTCGAGTGAAACACAATACAATTCAGGATAAAGGATGCAGGGCAAGATAATATACAGAGAAGCACTAGCAGATGAAGGCTAGTCCAGAATAATGAGGACCATGAGCTGTTCAAATCATCTAAATAACAATCAAATATATGTACCTAAAACAATTGTATCCTTAAGGCAGATGATCTGTATTGTATTATGAAATAGTGTATGTGTGTGCACGTGTTGGTACATGTTTGTTTCACTAGTCCTCTATTACCATTTACCAATAACAATGTGACAAGCACCCAAGGGAAGGGGTTGTGTGAATAAGAAGTCAAAGCCAGGCTGATTTAGAGGTTGTAACAAGTAGCCAATTGTCTGATTTAGATGGTGTAGCCAGCAGGGAATATAAATAGATTTCCTGATATGTGTCAATAAGTTTGGGAAGTCAATATCCTAGAATTATGAATTATGGTAGAGATTTTGTCAATCTTAATTATGAGAGATATCTAGTTGTTCCTAATTATCTTTTCTGCCTTTTCTATTTAAATTGTATTATACTCTCTTGAAGAAAATAATAAGAAAGAGTGAAAATCATCTTCTCGTGTACTGTTATTGTTTCCATGGTATCACAACTATAAGGCTCGTTCATGAATTATAAGGTACCCACTGTTGGCTTCAGGTTATCCTCCACGGAATTACCCGTAATCTTACTTTAAGGGTTGTATACTCACCAAAACAGACCACAAATGATCCCGTAAGTCCCAAACAATCGAGATCCAACTGCAAGTTCAACCACAATCAACAAATGCAGAAATAAAGGGCTTAGTAACAAGTAGATGAAAATCCAAGCACAATAAAGCAACCACTATGATGAACATTCATCATATTGATAGAGAATTTGGAAGATTACACTCTCTATAGAAGGTTTACAATGGCTTCTCTGGCTTTCTAGAGGCCAAGTCTCTGATAGACCCAAACGATTGCAATCGTATTAATGGCAAAACTGGACTGATTACAATGAAAAATCGAAGAAAAACTAGATGGAAATTCGAGAGCCCATTTCTCTCCTACACGATCAAAAAGATCACACAAAATCTGAATGAAATCCCCCGCCAAAACCACGCACCTGATATATACCATTCTCATTGCCTTCTTTATTATATTTCCAGAATTACCCCCTCGACTTTACTCTTTATTTATCATTGGACCCCTCCTCGAATATACTTTCGTAATTGGAGGCTTATCAATCCTCCATCCCCCCAATTACTCACCTTTTCCTCGAGGTGGAATGTTGGAAACTGCTTACACACATCCATGTATGACTCCCACGTGTCTTCAAACTCTGTGATCCCCGCCAACCAAGAAGGACCTTGATGTCATTATTGTTATGATATCGACTACCTTTCAGATTTTCTGATTCTATTGCAGCTCCCATTTATCTTTAAGTGCTGCGGGCAGAGGTGTATGTGTTCCATGATCACCAACAGCTTCTTTCAGTTGAGACTTGAGACACATGAAAAACAGGGTGGATGCTACTCCCCTCGAGCAACTGTATATGGTAAGCCACCTTACCAATACGTTCGGTGGCAAGAAAAGGCCCATAAAAACGAGGGGCTAACTTAACATTTCGGTGAGTAGCCAAAGACGTTTGTCGATATGGTCGTGTCTTTAAAAATACCCATTGTCCAACCGACAGCTCCACATTCCTTTGATGTTTATCCGCCGATGCTCGCATTCTTTGTTGAACTTGGAGTAAATGGGTACGTAGCTCCGACAACATTCTATCCCTTTCTAACAGCATTTGATCCACATTAGAATTAGAGACCTTCATATCCGCATACGGGGTTATTTTGGGAGGATCGCGACCACACAATATCTTGAACGGGGTGGTGTGGGAGGACGTATGGAACAAGGTATTGTAAGAGTACTCAGCCCATGGCAGCCAGGTAACCCACTTTCGTGGTTGTGCTCCGATGAAACAACGTAAGTCTCAATTCCACGGTTCACCACTTCAGTTTGCCCATCACTCTAAGGGTGGTAAGTCGTGCTAAATCTAAGTTTAGTTTCCTGTAATTGCCAAAGTTCCTACCAAAAATGGCTAAGGAAGACTTTATCTTGGTCCGAAACTGTAGACCTTGGCACCACGTGAAGACGCACGATCTCCTTCACAAAAATGCCCGTTACTTTAGATGTTGTGAAGGGGTGTTTAAGAGCTATAAAGTGGCTGAATTTACTCAGCCAATCAACCACCACTAATAAAGAGTTAGAGCCTCGGAAACAAGTAATCCTTCTACAAAATCCACGGATAAATCTTCCCAAACCTGCTATGGAATATCCAAAGATTGTAGTAAACCGGTCTGCATCATTGTCGAGCTTTTATTACGTTGACAAGTCACACAAGCAACTACATATTTATGGACAGCCGACTTCATTCCTTCCCACCAAAATTCGGCTTTAAGTCGTTGTAAGGTTTTAAGGACCCCGCATGACCCCCAATGGCTCCATCATGGAATTCCATAAGTAACTGGGTAATGATGGGAGATTTGCTCGGAATTACGAGCATACCATGCCGGAGTAACAAATTGTCTCACACCTGAAATAGGTTTGGGGCAGCCGGACCAACATTTAAAGCATCAATGCGGGCTTTACACTTAGGGTCTTGGTTTACTTATTCAATCAATCGAGTGATGTCCCATCCTTGAAAAATAGGGCTTTAAACGAACCGAACGAGCACGAACAGAGGCTTGTTCATGTTTGTTTTTTTAACTTAACCGAACAAATGAACGAACACGAACAGTAAACGGACGAAAATCTTTGTGTTCGTGTTCGTTTATGTTCGTTCGTTAACATGCTAAACGAACGTAAACGAACGAACATAAACGAACGGGTCTAAACGAACGTAAACGAACGAACATAAACGAACNCTAAACGAACGTAAACGAACGAACATAAACGAACGGGTCTAAACGAACGTAAACGAACGAACATAAACGAACTGGTCTAAACGAACATAAACGAACAGGCCTAAACGAACATAAACGATGAAAAGATAAAAATTTCAAATAAGACAAAATGATGATAAAATTTAAATCCAAATAAATTCTAAAAAGTTAAAACTTAAATAAATATTATTTGAATTCAAACTAAATAAATAAAATATTATATATTAAATTTAATATATAAACCAACGTTCACGAACATAACTGAACGAACAAGACTCTTGTTCATGTTCGTTCGTTTAACTAAATGAACAAAAAAAATTGTTCATGTTCGTTCATTTATTAAATAAACGAACTTCCCGCCGAACGATTCACGAACGGTTTGCTGAATGTTCAGCTTGTTTACGGCCCTACTGAAAAGTAAGTAATTCCATTAAGGTTGGGTCATGGGGTCTTCTAGATAAAGCATTTGTAGCCGCATTATCTTTTCCCGGTTTGAACTGGATCGAGAAGCCCAATGAGTTTGATTAGCCATTTATGATACGCCGTAGCCACCTCCCTCTATTCTAATATGCGTTTAAGACTACGTTGATCCGACTTAACAATGAAGTGTCTTCCCAAAAGATAATGTTTCCACTTTTTGACAGCCAACATGATAGCCATCAATTCGCGCTCATAGACGCACTTAAACTTTCCTCCAGTTGGTGAAGCTTGACTGAAGTAAGCTATTGGCCTTTGCGACTGCATCAAAACAGCGCCCACATGCAGCCCGTGCGGCTGCACAGGGCATCAAAGCCTAAAGGGGCATCAAGTTGTCATTTATTACTAGTTTTGGGTTTAATAATTTGGGAATTGGACAATTGAACTTTTAACTATAAAAACAGATCCAAGTCTAATAGTGATGAATACTGAATGCACATCATTGGAAAAAGTTGGAAAGTTGGAAAAGTTTTTGTTTGAGAGAGTTTTTTCGCAGATGTAAGAAGCGTTTTTTAGTTGGAAGGGACATGTTTGGAAAAAAAAATTGGCTTTCTATATAAAGCTCCCCCTGGAAGCTTATTAAATAAGTCACTTTCTATATCATTAAGCCACTACGAAACAATCATGCATAGTTGAGCTAATAAGGTGTTAGTTTCATTAAACTTATTAAGTTACCAACAGATAACCCCTTAGCCTTTAGTCATTAAACCTGTAATTTTTTACTTTTAGTTTTTGCTTACTATAACAGTAACTTGGATGCAATTTACTATCTTAGTTAAAAACTAATTATAGATTTCTTTGTCTTTTAAGTCCCGTATATTAAAATAAAGTTTCTATTTTGCTAATTTTAATTTGGAAAAGGGAAAACTAGAAAAGAATGAAGCACGATCTTAATCTAGGATTTATCCTTTTATCATTTATATTTTGTATTCGGGGTTTTGGTTTTTATGTTCCCCTCATTGTATTTTTTTATTATAATTAATAAAAATCAACATGGAGATGAGATACTTAGCTTGAATAGGTTCTAAACTTTTTAAAATATCGCATGTTTCGTTGTTTCATTGGCTTAAAAAAATAGGGTTAGGGGTATATTTTATTATTTTCGCACAGGGGATCAAAAATCTTAGGACTGGCCCGGCCTCTTCCCCCAATCCAGGCTTGAAGGCAGGCAGCAAATGAACTTTTAAGGGAGTAATTAGATAAATCCGCGTACGCAGTTAAGGCTCTATCTCTCTAACCTGATCTCTTTGCATTTTTGTGATTTGTTTTTCCTAGTAGTGTGAACTTCATGAATATGCTTAAAGGTTTAAAAAAAAGGAGTTGAGAAAACCAAAACCTTCGGTAAGAGATATAAGAGTACAGTCTAATATCATGTCCAAACCAGTTTACTGATATGAAAACTCATATGGCTACAACAACAATGAGTTCATCCAAAGCTTGTTTGAGCAGGCAATGCCATAATGGTGCCAAATATCAACAGGTGAACCCCTTGGTTCCAAGTAAGTGAATGATGTCCTTCAAGGTACCCTTACTAAGGCCAACTCCTTCGGAATACATCAGCCATGCAAATCTCTCATTGCCATGTCCATCTTGGCTGGCATATATCTCTCTAGCAGATCCTATTGGTACAGTCTCCTCTTCTAACCGGTACACAAAGACATCCATGTTGGAGACCATCCAAATGATGGTGTTTCAGCAGACCACCCAAATGATGGTGTTTCAGCAGCTTCTCAATCAGTTACACCTAACTTTCTCCATACACCCTCACTTCTAGCCCATATTGTGTGGCCACATATCCATCTCAATATCAACATTCTTATATACTCATCTTGAATGTGTGTTATCTTTTGGTGAAACAATAATATTGTGTCATGCAAGTCATAGCAGATCTTCCGCTATCCTGTAGAACTTACTTTTAGGCTCAGTTCAGTCGGTTGAAACTTTAAACATCACATGATCATCGAGGCATGTCACCATCTCATCCACTCCACTCTTATCTTACCACTAACATCCTCAACAATTTCTCTATCTTAAATGTTTGCAAATCAGCAATGACGAGGTTGCACTTCATATCCTCAGCTTTATTCTAAATTAATCTATAAACCCTTATGTTTGAAATTGTTTCTCCAAACATCCAACATTGCATTGACACGCTACTCAACCTCATCAATAAACAGTCTATTATCGGCAATACCTGATGTTAGAATTCTATGAGGCTTGAGTGCTTTATCTACTTTCATCTTCTTGCAGTTTCCTTTGCCTCCGACATTATAAGATCACTAGGATCTCCTACATCTTGTAAATGGGTCAAAATTTGAGTTGGATCGGCTAATCATCTGACGTGATCATTAATGCAACTAAGTGGATCATGATAAACACGATTGGGAGCTTGACATAATGATTGCTTACTAGTTTGGTGAGTATGTTACCGACAGTGCAAAACCTAGATATACACGATTTCATCATTCTAACATCAATTATAAACAAGGAGCCGGATCCATAACCAAATTTCAACCGAACCTCATATGCAAACAACATCCACATCTGATTAGCACAAAAAAAATGATTAAACATCATAACCAGAAGCCGGCTGAATCATTTATACCTGATAGGTGGTATCGAATTTGTCGTACATGAATCTGGTGATGATGCTGGTTTTGCCGACGGATTGATCTCCCAAAAATACCAACTTGTATTTGGCAAGGGGTGACACCACCGCCATGAGTGAATTGCTTGAAATCGCCGATCAGATCTCAATCTTTGAGTGAAAGTTTTGGTGAAAACTGAAATGTCAGAGAAAATGGGAGGAGAGATAAGATGAATCAAAAAACGGTGCGGTGGGTTTGATTTTCAATCGGGTCATATATATATACATATGAATGGGAGAAGAAACCGCCAACTAGACGCCAAGGTCAAACCCCTCTCTCTCATGCTTTCGTGCCTGCCTTACTTATTTGCCCTCAATCAAAAGGGTTTTAAATAGGTCATAAATATATAGAGAGACCGGTCGTGATTTAGAGGCTGATTGGCAATTGCTGAATGGTTTGGTACAGAATGATTAAATGGTCAAAATGATTAAGAGACTCTCATGATATAATGTTAAATGAAATATAATTGTTTGGTAACTGTGTACAATAAAATCAAGACTCTTAATGATTAAGGGAGTTTCAGGATACAAAACATATTATATACCTTGTTCACCTATAAACATATATTATGTACTCTAATGTTCATATATGAACACATATTATGATTTGAATATTTACCTTCATCGTCTATCGCTAGCCTTTTTCTGGACCCTTCTGCATCAAGCTCTTTCTTCCGTTGTTCCATCTTAGAAGAGGGTAATCGTTCAACTACTTCACTGTCGTCTGTTGTCGACAGGAATTCCACTTTTTGGTGATGCAAGATTTGATTGGTATTAAGATAGATGTTCACAAAGAATCGTGCCCACGAGTTCCAGATTTGATGTGGATTAGCTACGGTGTCGAAGATTTTCCAGGAAACGAGATTGTTTCCGTTCTTGAGATGCAATGTCGTTTTACCTTTTTTACCCTTGTTCACCAAGGTTCGTCCACGTTTCATCCCAATTTACGCGTTTGAACTTCTAAATAGTTACCAAATTGCCACTGACATCTCTCGTTCGTTCATTTAATAGATGAACGGTCTAGATTAGTTCATATAGTTAACACTAATTTATTGGTTAACAAAAGAAAGGGACTCTATGTAGAAGATTTTAAATACACGTCAATAGACACTGATTCGAGAATATCAACTTCAAATAGACCAAAGTTTGGAACAATTTTCTGCTTAATTTCATAATAAAACAAAGTACAACATTTATAGAAAAGTAAAGTCTTGTTTGTTTTCTTAAAAAAAGAACTTTTTATCAGCCTCTTATGTTTGATTCGTTAAGAGTTAGTGTCATTCAGACTGTTTGTTTTTTCCAGTTTTTCAGAGGCTCTTATGTCTTATTGTTCTCTTATATGGTAAGAGATAAACCAATCGCTTATTTTACCTCTTATTGTTCTTCAAACTCTCAACAACGACGTTTTCTCAATTGATTAACCTTAATCAATCATTTCTTTCAATCGATCCTTACCAAATCATACTCATCTCTCTCAATTGCTTTATTTTAATAGGATTTCAATGTGTTATATACTGTCAACCGCATATTTTCGTTTAAATTAATGCTAATTATATAATATAGATGCAAATTCCGTGATGATTATGAATAAATATATGAAATTGTGTAAATTTATTTATAAATCCAACACTATAATTTTGAGTAAAATAGACAATTTAAACAAATTCAGCCATTTATTGTTGAGAAAAACAAATAATGTTGTTGATTCTGGTTTCAGACTTCAACGTCACTTCTTATTAATCAGAAGTGAAATAAGACTTCAAACTTCAGCATTACTTAACACCTAAAACTCTAAGGTGGCGTTTGTTTTTTAAGAGGTGTTGAAGTCTGAATTCTTATTTCATTTATGATTTATAAGAGGTGATGCTGAAGTCTGAAATCTAAATCAATAAAACTGTTTGTTTTTGTAAACTAATAAACGTCTGAATTGTCTATTATACTCATTAAAATTTATAGTGTTGAATTTATAGATAAATTTATACAATTTCACATATTTATTCATCATCATTATGAAATTTATATCTAAATTATATAATTAACATTCATTTAAACGAAAATATATCATTAACGGTGTTTAACACATCTACATCCTATTAACATACATTAATTGAGAAATGTGATGATTGATTTAGTAAGGATCGATTGAGAGAAATGATCGATTAAGGTTAATCGATTGAGAAACGCCGTTGTTGAGGATTTGAAGAACAATAAGTGGCAAATAAGATGTTGGTTTACCTATTATCAAATAAGAGGAAAATAAGACATAAGTGCCTCTAAAAAATTAAAAAAAAAAACAAACACTCTGAATGACCTTGCCTCTTAACGGATCAGATTTTCAACAAAAACATAACAAAATCTCTTATATTGAAATCAAGGAAGTGGTTATATGAGCCGTATCACAGACCATCTAATTTTTTTTTGATTAATCTGGATATCCAATTCGCTATGCGAGCCGACTCTCAGGGCGACCACCTGCTTTGCAGATAATCCGGAGTCACCGCATTTGAACCTCCGTAGCCACAAGGGGATTTTTATTCCTCCTAATTTTTACAGATCATATAAAATACAAACCAATCTCGGCTCTTAATTTTGTCTATTTTGAAATTTTTAAACGGTTATCAAATCAGTTGCAGATAAGATTAGAGATTTTTATCTCTTTTTGTCATTGGAAAACCTTTCCCATTTTTTGGTAGGCTATCGAAAAACTCCCTTCCTCTCTCGCTGATTCTAGTTAACTGTATAGATGCCTTATAAGAGAAGTTTCGTTGCAATAAATCCTTGATTACTTTTCAAAATCTGGTCTAAAGAATTAGAAATATGTGTGATAAACAGTTAAACACTTCTTAATTGACAAGTGTCGATGTTGACTTATGTCAATGTTTGAATTCATGTCAAGTATTCACGATGACATAACCTCCGTTATTAGCGTTTGAAGCCAAGGCAATCCCACGAGCATTGGCAACTTAGCCATGGGCGGACCTATGAAGGTTCCAGTGGGATTTTGTCATTTCGTTCAAACGCTCAACTGATTTTCACAAGTAGAATTTTATAGGGTGTGAAAGATGCACACGTTGAACTTTGAGAGGTGCTCTAGAATATTATAAAATACAAGGGACGTTAATAAAAAACTGAGAAAGCCCGTCAAAATCAACCAGAACAAATCCGTCGAATATGTGGAATTTGGCTAAAGTATATTGGACGACTTTGAGAACCTCTGATCCACCTTAAAGTTGCACCACTCAACAAATATCCTAGGTTCGCCTCTAGACCTCGCCTTAGGCGAGTTCTATAGTAATAGGAGGTCGAGAACCAATTTGGTGTTGTTTCGTTTTTAGGTTCTTTTAGTCGGGCATGTCTCTTTTGAATACAAGATTTGATTTACCATGTTAAGTAGAAGTATTTTTGTGCCATAAAAACTACATTGAATGTTAATTTCAGATGTCTTATGTTAACTACAATCAGGGGCAGACCATGGATGGACCTATAGTGGTGCATACGGGTGGCACATGCCACCGTATTATTCCTCTGTCGAAGGATAAAAAAAATAGATTTGTGAAAGGTGCAACCGTATTAATTTGTTGTGTGCTACTGTATGTATTTTCAAACTACAATGAGAACAAATTTTCTTTAGTAGAGTTGGTTTGTAAAACTTTTATCCAATCCAGACCCGAGTTTGAATGTGGTTAGTGTCATTTTCTTAGTCAAATTGTGTCACCATTTGAAGAAAAAAATCTATATATTTGTTTGTTATAGTTAAATGATGTCATTGTTTGAAAAAAAATTCCCTATATTATTCTCTTATAGTCAAATGGTGCCACCATTTAAAAAAAATTATGGATCCGTCGCTGAGGCAGACTTACATGGTAAGTAGGGAGATGGGACCCCATTAAAAAAATTAAAAAATTACTAGGGTTAAAAATAAAAAATTTACAGCTTTTACCTTCTACCCCCCACTAAATTTTTGCAAGGGACCCCACAACACTAGAAATCAATAAAAAAAACCAAAAAGGTCTTTTGAAATCAATAAAAAAATCAAAAAAGTCTTTCGAAATCGACAAAAACACTAAAAAAGTTCCTCAAAATCAACCCAAAAACCTTTAAAAATCTCTCGAAACAGTGTAATTAGGTTAAAAACACGTCGGACGACTTTGTGGGCCTTTAGTTAGACAAAAATCTTGAATCCGCCACTGATTATGATGATATGTTTTTGGACAAGTTTTGAGCTTAAATGCTTGTATAACCAATTACACGTGTATTTAGCAATTACCAGTCACTACTTGAGTATGTGCTCAACTAGCATTTGGTGATAAGGTACTCATTTTGCAATGTATCTTGATAATGATTTGTATGGATCTTTCTCCCTTGCTATCTTTTCCTTTTGAAGACCTTAATCACTTCACAATTCGACGATTTACGTACTTTAGATTGAACGAGTCAAGTTTGTCCACAAAAACATATCGTAACTCTTGTTTGTCGCACACTGAAGAGTTCGAAGTGAAGGAAACTGAGGTTCTATCTCTCGTTTTCTTCTTGCACTTTGTAATTAAACATAGCATGTAATGGAAGTATGGTTCAGTCCTTTAAATTCAATTAGCAAAAACGTTGTCGGATACGGGTTTGTATATATCTATATACATGCATGTTTGTATATTTATATGTACACAAATACATACGAAGCAATCACTATATAGATTTTAATCAACAGTCATTCAAATTTTGCTTTTAAAGAAAGTTATGAACGTGAATATGTTTTACATCATTATAATTTTGGTATATGATATTATGTTTGGTTAAACAATTAATTCACTTAGAATGAGTATATGAGGGATTATTGTAGCAATTATAGAAGAGTTGTGTTTGTGAAGTTTATATTTAGCCTCAAAATTGAAATTTAGGGACCGTTTACCAAACACTTACTTGGGTAAGTGAACACCAAATCATATTATCTTACCAGATGAATATAGTAAGGATCAAAAATTTTACCCAATAAAAGCGAGACAAGGACCAAGAGTCTTACCCGGTATGTGAGGGCGACGACTCTTACCATGATAAGCGCTTACCGGGTAAATTGTTGCATATGATACCATTTTGGTGGACTAAAATTTTATCCGGTAAGTAAATGATAGTGTTAAGTTTACCGGTAATATTAATTATTAATAAATAGTAATTAATATTATTTAAAAATTATTAATTAATATTAATTATTTAGAATTATTATTAATCATATCAGTTATAGTTATTTTTATATTATTGTTCAATAAACTAAAAGTCTCAAAATGAAAACCTGAAAGTATATTCCAAACCGATTGTTTTAAAGCGCAACGAGTTAGAAATATATACAAAATGAAGTTATTTTTTCTTCCATATAATAGAAAGCCATGGTTTTTTTTTAAGTAGCTCATATTTGAAACCAAACAAGTTGCTAGCAAATGGAAGACATCAAAGTTGTCAAAAATATATACAAAATGAAGGCCATCTTGTGGTGTTACGCTACCAACGGCAAATCCCCGGTGCCTCTGTTCGCAACATAGATATCACATCTTCGTACTCTGAAGCGTATACAAACCCCCACAACTGAAACACGTTCAAAATACATGACACATACATACATGCATACACACATACACATACGCATATACATGCACAAACACATACAGACATGCATACATATATGTACACAAACAGGTGATAACAAGTGAAAATACATGCATATACGTCATGTTATATTGTGTGAAGATTGTAATTTTTTACATCATCTTCAATTGTGTATTTAGAAGGTTACTTTTTATATCGTGTAAACGTTGTCAGGGTAAAAGATTGGAATTTTTGTTTGTTTTATTGGAACTTAATAAAGACGAATCTTTCTTGTTCTCTGATTCTTTTACTTGGGTAGATTTCAGATGTTCAACCAATCTAATTTGCAGATCTGTCTTTAATATTATTATATACATATATATATGTACGTGTATATATATATATATATATATATATATATGGTTCATTTGAGAAGTGGTTAGTAGTTGAGAAGTAAAGAAGATCCTAGCCCTTCATTCCCATTTCATCTAGTTAACATTTGCGGCTTTGATTGTGAAGCACCGGATAATTCATCACATGGATATGTGGAAGATAGAAGGGTAGTTTCGAAACTTTTACAAATAGGCGGCAAACATGTGATTCACATATGAAATACATGTTCATAGGTGAACCCGTTAATTAGTTCACATGTGAAAATTTTAACTGATTCACATATGAACCCACGGTTTCATATGTGAATTACTTAATTAATTCATATGTGAATCAGTTAATTAGTTCATATCTGAATCACACGGGTTCATATGTGAATTACACGAGTTCACATATGAACATATACTTCATATATGAATCACATGGGTTCACATATGAACCCGTTTGTTACCTACTTGTAAAAATTACAAAACTACCCCCTCTATTTTCAGCATAGCCGCAGATTTTGACTAGTCAAAGCCGCAATTCTTGACCAGTCAAATCTGATCTTGACAGTGGCTAGGATCACTTCTTTGCTTCTCAAATATTTACCACTTCTCAGAATAACCTATGGCTATATATATGTGTGTGTGTACAAAGTTGGGTTCCAGTGAGAATTGAAGTTATGATGAGAAAGGTAAAAAGGGATCTCCACCCTTAGATCAATCCTAATTGGAGATCAACACTAATGTGGTGCACCGAGGTGCACTGGATCAATTCCCGTGGATTAGATCCCTTCTTACTCTTCTCACCATAACTCATATTCGCACACGATCCTTCATCTATATATGTACATGCATATATATATATATATATATATATATATATACACACACATATATACATACATACATATATTCGGGCAGCATTTTGCTAAACGAACTCAAAGGACTAAATTGAACTTCCAATGCATACTATTTGTAATTAGACCGTGAAAGCGAAAGAGAGAGAGAGAGAGAGCACCTCAATTTCTCTCACTTCGAACTCTTCAGTGTGTGACAAACAAGAGTTACCATACGTTTCTGAGGCCAAACTTGATCCGTTCAATCTGAAAAATGAAACATAAATTGCCGAATGGCTAAGAAATGTAGGTCGTTGAAAAGGTCAAAGATAGCAAGGGAACAAGACTCGTACAAATCACTATCAAGATACATTGCAAAATGACTTCCCCCACCAAGTGCTAAATACTCAGTTGAGCAAAGAGTGAAGTAGCGATTCATACCTGATACATATACGAGCAATCAGCTACACTAAGTACTTAAGCTGAAAATTAAACAAAAAAGTGATCGTTGCAATTAATACTAAGCATCCCACAAATGGCGATCATTTGTAGTTTTCATGGCTCGGAGAGACTCCTACTTAACATGGTAAACGATTTCTTGGGTTCAAAAGAAACGCACCCTACTAAAAGAACCCAAATACAAAGCAGCACCATATTGGTTCTTAACCACCTATTGCTATAAAATCCGCATGAAGCTAAGTGGTTTTCAAGGTGAAGAAATATCAGAAAGATAAGTACATGTATGTGAAATATGCAAAAATTTATGGCATTCCATATACAAGTGTTTGTAATTAAACACCCATATTCACACATGAATAAATATTCTATTAGTTTCATCAAAAGATGCAATTCACCCATACTCACCTCACTATTATCATCGAAGTTAACAGGGTAAGTTGACTTTTAATGAATAGGCTTATGTAATCTAGAGGAAGAAAACGTACCTGTTGGACGAAATATAACAGGACGACCAGATGTATTTGTAAAAACAAACGTTTTATTTGATCCCTGTATGGTAGTCAGCAGTGATTGAAAAGGGGAGAAAGGTCTCAATCAACATTCAATAGTAAGGAAAATTAAGCATACCTGGTATCTCTTCTTTGTTGATGGTCTCAAGGGTGCCTCAATTAAACCACCAAAAACCGCACCTTTACGATCTCCAACGACCTGAAATTTTCAGCCTAACCCGTTTTAACCTGCCCTATATATTCACCCATTTTGACCCACTACCTGACCAGCCAGACCCACCCATTTTGCTACTATAGGTTAGGGCCATGCAAATAAGAAGTCAATATGTCTAAAGAACTCAAGGCATTACCAGCAGGCTCAGCCCGGGGCAAAGATTGCTTCTTCTATATAAAGTTGACAAAGATATACCATGCCTCCACGTACTGCATATATAAACAGAAATATATGAAGAACATTATGAAATCGCAAAAACTTCCATACCACCAAAAATATATGAAGAATATTGTGAAAACCGAAATATATGAAGAATATTGTGTTATACCTGTATAGTAAGACCCATTTCTTTCCTTGACTGAGAGAAGGGAGTGCAACATAAAGAGCACTTCGTGTATCTTCGGTCATAAGCTGTGAAGGTTCTGACATTTTTGGAAGTTTATCACACGGAAAAGGCTCACTCGGACTTTCCACAGGAACCCCCAAATCAGTGCCAAATTGAGAGGTCGTTTCTTTCGTGTCATCAATCTTGGATTCGGTGTTTACCTTCCCAGAGGCATGGGACCGATACCCACCAAACCTAGCAGCCTGAGAGAGAGCCTTGCCAAGTGACTGTTTCCCCCTAGAGAAAAGACCTTTCTTTCCGCTATTTTCTTTTAACAAAACGTTTGTGGATGGTGCATCATTTCTGTTCTCATTCCATCCGGCATACTCAGACTCATTTCCTGATCTTCCCGGGGACAAAAATGAATAGAGAAATGCGGTGAAAGAGGAAGTATCTGGACCATCAACCAACACCGGGACATCTTCCTCTGAGCTACATTGTTGTGTATTTCTCCTTGGTTCACTACTCGCATCTCCCTAGCAAAAACAAATAAACATCTCTATAGATATGGTAGAGTTGAGCAACAAATTTACAATAAACCAAGCCAAAGCAAACGAACCCAGTATATCAACAGCATCTTCAATTGATTTGATAACCGCCTCTAAGTTCAAAATCAAAGGTTGAGATTAGGTTTAGGGGGAAACCCTAAAAAATGAAAGACTAAGGAACACACTGGTAACCATTCATCTGCATGGTACGCACATGTACATACAAGTAACTGAAGTTGTTTCTTGGTTTTTATGCACATGTGCTACCGGACAAATTGCTAACAAATTACTTGTATGCATATGTGCATACCGTCCAAATGAACGGACAGTTACCAGGTGTTCCTCAGTTTTTCATTTTTTGCAGTTTTCCCCTGAACCTGACCATATATATAAGGTTGAGTTCTGGTGAGAAAGAAAGTTATGGTAAGAAACGTAAAAAGAGATCTCCACCCTTGGATCAATCCTAATTGAATGTCAACACTAATGAGGTGCACTGAAATGCACCAGATAAATTCCCTTCTAAAGCGCAATTCATGGGTGGGCATGATATTAAAAGTGATCAAGGGTTCAGATCTCTTCTTACGCTTCTCAACATAACTTCCCTTCTCACACGATCCTTCGTTATATATATATATATATATATATATATATATATATATATATATATATATATGCATGTGTGTGTGTGCATCAAGAATATGTCTCTTCTAAGCATTTAATGATTGCACAGTGTAGAAAAACGAAATGACACTACATCTTTGACAATCGATTTCTTTTAACCAGTCAAATTGTCTCCCATAAAGCTTGAACACAACACCATTAAGTCTAGGAGGACCCCGGTCTAGTTTTATGAGAAACTTGCAGAAAAAGTCCCTTAAATAGCTATCCACCTAGAAATATAATTGTTAACCCTTGAACCCCTTTTGGTTTGTAATGTAATGTCATTTGTTCAAAAGTTGAAACGACTAACATGTAGATTTTTGAAAGTTCGTATCTATTTACAATTACCTAAATAATAAACAACATAAGACTCATTCGCCCCAATTAAAATCCTCACCAGCTCTCCCATCATTCTACTCCTCTTCTCACTCTACAGAAGAATTGCAGGGTTTACATTTTACACAAATGAACACAAGGGAAATATATATGGAACAATATGATTCACTTTACATACAAAAAGAAATAGAAGATGCTTTGTCCTGATTTTTCACCATCTTAATAGCTTAGAATGAAAAACTCATTGTTTTAACTGGAATTAAGCCCATAAAAACATCTCAACGATTTTGAAATACATATGACTTATAAAGTTCTTTTGTGATTCCCTCTTTCAACGTGAATAATACATGAAATAGTCGGTTCCATGTTCTCAAACATTTCTATATATGGCAGCGCAGGGTTGGGTTCACGTGAGACCATCATGTTTTTGTGAGACCTATGAGGCCATAAAATAATATAGAAACTTCACAGTAAAACATTGTAAAGATACGAAAAACACCGAAAATTCACAGCAGAATCAATGAAGGTTTACCTTCACGGTGTTTTGCTGTAAATGTTCAGTGTTATTTATGTTGTCTCACAGAAATTGGGCTCACATGATCCCAAGTCTGGCAGAGCAACCCAAAAGTTATATCCGATAATTGTCTCAGAAAATCTCTGTAGAATGGGAGAGGATAAAAGAAAGATGAAGGAAACTGTCAGTCATTTAATGGCCAGCAAGAATCCTCTCGCATTTCTTTCTATAAATAATTATTAGAATAATCAGTTTAGTATTTACTTGTCAGCCATCTTTGAGATCAAACATACTTCCAAACCAATTTGGAGTTCCATGGGTTAAAAAGCATTGTAGGTCATTGGCAAGTATAAAAGGGAACCAAAACCCTAATCCTAAAGCTGTATGAATTTCTCTATAACGATAAAATTTCATCTAAATTAACAAATGAAGTTAAATCGCACATTCACAAAACAAGATAGGCCCCAAAAATCAAACGGTCCAAGAATAGCCAAACAAACACCAAATCGATAAACCCCTACAAGCACTAAACAGGATTTCAAATCAACGATCAAGAACAGAACTCACCGTGATCGAAATAATCAAATTACAGAGAAAAAGTAAAGCAACTTCAACAAACCCGAAAAAGGAAATCCAAGAAGAATCAAGAGAGAGTAAAGAACTTACAGTGCGAGGTGAGGGATTGGATGAGGGTTTGTCAGATATTGGATTAAGAAGAACTGTGGTAAGATCAGTCACAAAATGAGCAGCCTTACTCCTAATTGAAGTGGTCAAACGCTGATGTTCTTGTTGGTGTTGTTGCCTGCCCAATTTCATCCTTTGTTGTTGCGTGGATTGTAATCTAAGGAGTATCAACGGCGATGATCCCCAAGTTCTACCTGAACATATAGATGGATTATGAAGAAGAATCAGTGGAGAATTGGAAGGTGGAGCTGGTGGAAAAGATGAAGTTGGTCGTAATGAGTGAGTTCTAAGGAAGAACAAGTAGTCGGGTTTTCTCTTCACCCGGTCAAAATTACCATAAGATTATCCGCAACCGAAATGGATGATGCAATTAGGAGAAAAACAAAAAGTTGTTTAAAACAAGAGTAAATTACGTTTTCAGTCCTTACGGTTTGTTGAAAAGTACTATTTTTGTTTTTATAATTTTAAAATTATAATTTTCATCCTTATAATTTTAAATTCCCTACCGCCGCTCTCTACCATTGAAGTTGATGCAAATGACCAAGAATCTTACCTAGTAAGTGATGGCAACGATTCTTATCAAGGTTGGCATTTATCGGGTAAATTATTATATACGATATTGTTTTAGTAGACTAAAATTTTACTCTATAAGTAAGCAATAGCGTTGAGTTTTACTAATGACGACTCAAACCTCTGATCCTCTGCTTGAATTTTGTAAGCATCTATAACTGCTAGATTTTTCAAAGTCAATTTACTGGATAAAAAGGTTACGCCCGACAAGAAGTTTCGTCACAGAGGAAATGCGTGCACCGATTTGCTAGAGAAGAAGCATATTCAAATATTGTTTCCCTTTAAAATTTAATGCTTTAAGGGTTGTACTTTCGTTTTACACGCTTGTACATTTTTTTTTAGTATTCGAACTTCGTCCCAAAATAAATGTCTATAATTAAAAATGGACATAAATTTAAAATATGTAGTTATTACACTTTTTAACTAACAAAAGAACAATTTTACCATTAATTATAGAGAGAGGAATTATCTCCATCTCAATTAAAGTAGACATTTAGGGGCCGTTTACCAAATGTTTACTTGAGTAAACGCTTACCAAGTTACATTACCTTATTGGATGAACATGGAAAGGACCATAAATCTTACCCAGTAAAAGCAAGGCAAGGACCTAAAGTCTTACCCGGTAAGTAAGAACAATGACTCTTACCACAGTCAACTCTTACCAGGTAATTGTTGCATAAAAAGTCGTTTTTTGTTGACTAAAATCTTATCGGTAAGTAAATGATAGTGTTGAATTTTACCGGTAGATGTTTACCCGGTAAGTGTTTGGTAAACACCCACTTACTTTTCAAAGTGAACATTTATTTCATGACAAATTGAAAAAATAATGTATACACGTATCTTGGAACGAAATAATGATTGAATGTCTCATTTTCCTCTCTTTTCTAGTATCAGTTAAAAACCCAGAAGGGCTACTTGAAAATGGGTAAGAAAACGGGGTCTTCAGTCAAGTAGTTCAACGTACGGAGAGGAATTGTGTGTGTGTGGACGACTTCTAGCCGGGATTCTGACTGAGGGGAAACCTGCTTCGATAGGGTAATAATTTAACTCGTAAAAAATCCCAATGATGTTGTACATTCGATGACAATTAAACATAGATAATTGTATATAATTTTCGTTCAAAAAGATTTAGCTGTCGTTTGGTACATTAGAGTCCATATGAAAGAATTTGAATGGTCAGTTATGTTGACCAAATTTCATTCATGCGTTTGGTTCATTTTTGAGTTATGGTAAAAAAATGAATTCTACATATTGACCAAATTTCATCCTTCTGTTTAATTCATTCTTTGAGTTTTTGGTAAGTATTTCGAATTCCACATATGGTGGGATGTAAATTCATTGGGTTCTAACAAAGAATTTCAGTTTTTTCATACCATCTTTCAAAAAATAAAACTACTGTACTCTGACATTTTACTTCATTCTGTCCATCCCACCACGATGGATACCACCACCAACACTGTCATATCGTTACCAATGCCGCCGTTACTACTACCACCATCGCCATTGCCGACGACACGCCACTACCATTATTATATTCAACGAACCAAACAAACATATTTTTAATTCTTTTGACATATTTCATTCCAACTCCCGCTAACCAGGGCCGTCCCTGGGGGAGGGCGGCACGGGCGCACGCCCAAGGCCCAAAAATATTAGGGGCCCAAATTTTTCCCTTACAAAATACAATAGTAGTCTAAAAGAATTTAATGAAATAAAGAAACCCACAAAATTGTAACATATAATAAGAAGCAAAAAAATATTAGTACATAATAAGGGTCCAAAAATATTTCAACTAATTATATTGGAGTAGAAGATAAAAAAATTAATTTTTTTTATCTTCAACAAGATACAATGATATTGGTTATTGTTATCTCTATATGCTTGGTTGTTTTCATGAACAATTCAACAGTAAGATCATGTGCTTGTTATTACTATATATTTTTATTGGATATTTTTATCAATTTTTACTTCTATTGACTATTGCTATTTAGTTATGTTGTTCTAATTGTTTTTGTTGAGTATTGTTATCTATTTTTGTTTCTACACAAAATATTTTACTATTGTTTGACAATCAATCTATTGTTATTATAATTTATGACGTGTTTCATAGTTTTGTGATTAATCAATAATTTTTTCTACTATATATATTTAGTAATGTCTCTTATATATGTCATGTACAATAAATTTTTAATCTCAACATCTTATTTTAGTTGAGCAAAAAAAGGAGAATGAAATTTAAATATTTTCATCAACTGTTTGACTTATATATCTTTCATTGGGATTCAACCGCACTACAAGATTCTATTTAAGTACTCAAACAATCATTTGTTGAACTTGCATATTATATGTTTAATTCATTATTTATTTTTATTAGATCTCAATGAATCATTTTTTTTTTTCATATTCTTATTAATCCTTATTTGTCTACTTGTCTAGAATTCCTTGATAATCTTCTTTATTATTGATCTCTCATTGACCCTCACGATTACTTCATTCACACGAATTCTCCTTTTTTTTATTATAAAAATAACAAATATTTCTTGTTATAAACTAAAAAAATCCTTACTTTTTTATAAAAATTTATCAACCATAAATTTTATACTCTTGGTTTCAAATTACCTAATAAAAAATACGTAAAGTTAAGTAACCACAAGGGTGGTGTCTGATTGGTTTGAACTTGGCTCCAAAGGTCAAAAGTGTCTGGAGGTCCCATGTTCAAATCCAAAAAGGAACAAAAATCCTCTTGTAATCACGTAGGTTCAAATGCGGTGGGCCCTGTTTTTATGTTCGCCCAGGGCCCATAAAATGTCAGGAACGGGCATGCCGCTAACCAAATGTATGGTTAAACATAATTAATTTTCATTCAAATTCTTTCAGATTCTAATTCTTTTAATAGATTCCAAATTCCGACCGGATTCCACTATGTGAACTAAACGCCACCTTATTGTATTATATTTACTTCATTTCATTCAATCACACCACGATTGTCACTACCGTTGCTACCACTACTATTACCATAAGTTCTTTCACCCCCACGACTAGTGTCGTCGTCACCACCACCTCCACCACCTTATTCTATTATATTTAATTCATTTCGTTCCATCCCACCACGACTGTCACCACCACTATCGTTACCACTTCGCCTTCACCCCTCCACCAATGTTATCGGCACCACCATCGCCACCACTCCTATCAACACGACTACCATCTCCACCCACCACCCCTATTATATATGATTCAATTTTTTGAAAACCAAATCACCAATTACCGATCTTCTTGTCAAACATGATTAAATTTCATTCTAATTCTTATATCTATAACAAATTCCAAGTCATAAGGATTTAGTGTATGAACCAAACACCACCTTAGGAGCCGTTTGGCAATTGCTAAATGGTTTGGTGCAAAATAATTAAGTGGCTCCCATAATATAATGTAAAATGAAATATAATTATTTGGTAATTGTGTAAAATGAATTAGGGCTCTTAATGGTTAAGGGAGATCCAGGATACAAAATCATTCAGAGAGTTTTAAAACCATTAAGAGGCTAATTTTTTTTGCAAACAAGATTCACCTCTTTAACTATTTAAAGGTTGCTTCTTAGTAGAACTACTAAGAGGTAATCAAACAACCCCTTAGATATAAATTTAAAATAAAAAACCCTTAACCAAATCCTAAAATCAAAACCCTAAATCAAACTTTAACCCTAAACCAGACCCATAATACAGAGTAAAATAGGATGCAGATTAGAAGACAAGGCGACTGAGTTGCAGGTTAGGAGACCACCCTACCAATTGAAAATCCAACAGTTAGAAAATAAAGAGTTCCCATGTCAGATTTTGAAAATGGAGCAATAGTTTTGACCTTCATGTTGCTATTTTATACTTTCTAGGGCATTAACATCTGAAATGGGAACTCCAACGGTGGCATGGGGCTCCGTTTGAGAAGACACGCAATGGTTATAGTGGTGAAGTCGGCGGAAGGGGTGGGGGATTCAAGGGGTCGGTATCGAGTAAGGGGAGAGATGATATAGTGTATTATTTGGGAGGAAAAAGAAGATGAAGATGGTGCGATAATGGAGGTACTGTCGGAGTAGCCACCGTTGGGACGCCGGAGGTGATTGAGACATCGCGTCGGCGTGATTTTCTCGAAGGGGGGGACGACGGAGATATGGAGAGAGATAACGAGGAATGAGATTATGCTATCGGCATCGGGTTTTATTTGTGTATTTTTCTGAAATGACTAATTTGCCCTTTGACTTCACAAAAATGCATAGCGGACACTTTATTGTTTGCTATAAGTAAGCAATATTTTCTATGAAAATTAATTATATTAATTATAAATGAATGTTAGGATGCGTTTGGTTCATTTGTAGGAATAGGAATGAAAATGAGAATTAATATATTAGGAAATAGGAATGAATATATTCATTACATTATTTTATATTTCATTATATTTCTTTATATTGTTGATATTTGTTTGACGAAGGTATTATCAAACAAGACATTCACCAACAACATCTATATAGTTGAAGGAATCTGCATCTTTACACCAAAAAAAGTCTATCTCCATCTCCAATACATCAGCACATAGCATCCATCAGCACCTAGCATCCAACATCAATACTTTTCCATCATCAATACATTATCTCCATTCTTTATCATAAAAAGTCTATCTCCATCTCCAAGCTACCAACAGCACATAGCATCCATGATTTCTCTCTTTCTCAGAAAACCCTAACAGAGTAGAAGAGA